AGAGCCACTGCCAACCTGCCAAGACCAAGCAAGGAGGAATCCCGGGGAGCAGATACCCAGAACCCCCTCTCTTCTCACTCCACAGCGTCTGATGGTGCCACGGACGCAGGAAGCCACCACAGACTAAGAGAGCCCGATAGCCTCGAAGCTCAGTGTTCCAGGAGAGAGCGGGGCAAGTGTAAGACACCACCACAGATGGCTCAGCAGGAACCAGAAGAGCAGTTTATAGAGGACTAGACGTTGTCCTCAAAATTACAGATAAATAATATAACCACTTAAGAAATTCTGCATAAATTCATTCCAAAAGGTAAAGAGTGGTGCACCGAGTTCCTGAACAATGAACCACAGCTATTGGCAACTGTTTTGGAGGCTGTGCCAAGCATTCCAGGACATTAAGAATTCCTAGCCCCCAAGGCCCTAAACACCAGCAGAAACCCAGGCATCACAATAACCAAGTCTTAAAAACTTTACCTACTCCTGGTACTGGGTCTATAAGGAACCACTATGAGGGCAAGAATTTATGTTTCAACTTCTTTTTTCTTACCTGCATTTTCCCACAAAGAATAGGTATTGCTTTTATGAGAAGGAAACTATGTACACTTTTTTTTTTTTTTTTTTTTTTTGGTCTTTTTGAGATAGGGTTTTGCTATGGAGTTCAGGCCAGCCTTGTACTTACTTTGTAGCCCAGGTTGGCCTCGAACTCACAGCAATCTTCCTGCTTCAGCCTCCCAAGTGCTGGGATTACAGGTGTGTTCCACCATGCTCAGACTATGTCCACTATTTTTAAAGGAACTCAACAAGATAGTAATTTAGATTCTAGCTCTCAGTAAACCTTATTTCATCTTCCCCAACTCAGTTTGCTCATGACAGTAAGTAAAAAAAGGGTGACCTAACATTATTACACAGATGCTATAATTCATTTTAAAGTCACCCATAACAGGAAGGGCATAATTAACTTGGTTTCTTACAAATCACTTTTATTCTTCAAGTACTTGTAATAGTACTTATGAGATCACAGCATCCTATGATTCACAGGTCAGGTCCTGGATTGCTTCAAGTCTGCTAATAAAACTTTAAAAGGAAGGGAACCACCATGGTTTGGCTTCAAAACAGTATTACACTGGCAATCGTGTCTTAGTAGATAGGTGTAATTATTGCCATTCATCCCACAATGAGGCCAGGGCAGGCAATTTTGACAAATGATCTGGGGAAACGTGTCTTGTTCTCTATTATCTCATTTCCTCAGGTTCAAGTATAAGACGGGTTCTTAGTAATTCCTTGTCTCAGTATTTTTACAGGGCTGAGAGCAGCATTCTTCTGGAGGCAGGTAGAGTGTGGTCTCAGGAACAGGACAATGATAATTTGAAACACACACATACTTCTCCATTTGCAGATAAGAATCAATGGCACAACACTGCATGACATGCAGGAGACCATCTGTTATAAGCTGCTTCCTGATCCAGATGTTAAAACATGAACCAAAAAAGTATCTTAGAATCAAAACATGCTACAGTATATCGCTTAAGGTGATTCTTATAATTTTGAATTTTGAGTTCTCTAATTTATGAAAAAGTACATTTAGTTGAATAGGTGAACACTACTGAGGACAATTTAAACCGGTGAACTTTGACGGAAGATAACTTCAGATCATGCCATAAAATTCTTACATTTGCCTCAACAATTCTACTTTAGGAAGCTGTTCCTCAAAAAAGCTTTATACGAATGTGGAAAGATGGCCAAAGAAGGAAAACTGCTACAGCATTGATTATATTAGTAAAAAACACTTATCTTAAAAATAGAAGACTGAAAAAATCAAGTATGATAATTAATTCCCTATGAAAGAAAGTTGTAATACTGTGAGAGACTGGAGACTCAAAAATGTTCAGGACATAGTGCAAATAAGAAGTCACAAATCACTAAGGAAACATATACATAGGGATAAAGTACAAAATCATTTTTTTAGAAAAGCACGAAAAAATGGGAAAAGTAAAACCAAAATTTAAAAAAATCTCTGGGGGCTATATCTCAGTGGTAGAGGAATATACGAAGACCTGGGTTTGAGTCCCAGCCCCTGGCTGGGGGAGAGCATCAACTCCTTAAACTTACAAGAGTTTTTCCTTGTCTGACAGAGCACACCAGGTCCCCTGCCTAAGGAGGAAAACACTCACACGAAGGCCCATCACTGATAGTTGAGATCTCAGGAGAAGGAAGATTCTATGGGCTTCTAATGGCGAAGGAATAAAATATTTTAAATCAGAAGAGCTAGAGGACAATAGAGAAATACTGAAGAAAAACTACTTCCAATCCAATCTTCTTTGTCTAGCTGAACAATTATGTATAACAGTAGAATCCAGACATTTTGAAAGAAATCTCGAACTCCACATTCATCCTTCCTTAGGAAAGTAGGAAAGCTGCGTCCCTCTCTCCCACACCCCAGGGGAGGACAAGGGAAGCAGGCACTCCAGCCCTGGATGGAAGTACAGAGAACCTTCAAGGTGATGGCAGCTGCTGTGCAGTGGGGAGCGGACTCGAGGGGCCAAGGGGGAGCATCCTGAGGATCACCATGATCAGAATATGGAGCACTTCCTGGGAAAGGAGTTAGGCAATTCGGGTTAAATAAGCTACTAAGTATCTGGGGAACTAAATGGAAAAAGAGAAATACTAACACCAGGAAAAACAAGAAATTGTGCAGAGAGGAAAAGTGGTTGTAGGTTGCGGCTCCACTGTTCAGAGGCCAACACGAACTGCTGTCCATCTCAAACCACCTAAGGACGATGAGGGGAGCCAGGAAGGGTTTGTGGATCACAGAAGGTAGTCCAAGAGCACAAAAGCTTCACCTTTCAGGGTGGAAAGGGAGCAGACAGGGAAAAATCTCAGAAATACTGTACTAAACATGCTACTTGGAGCTTTGAGAAATTTGAATCTGAGTACTTCTAGGTATGAACATAGTAGGGGGAATTTATATTTGACTCTTTAAAATTTGTGCATACTTAACTCTGTCAAAAATTAAAACTTTTTCAGCAGGGGTGGGAGGGTAGCACATACCTGTAATCCCAGGACTGAGAAAGCTGAGGCAGGAGGATGGAAAGTTAGAGTACTGACTTGTGCAACTGAGCAAGAACCAGTCTCAAAACAAAAAGGGCCAGAGATGTACCTCATGGCAGGACACACCTGGGTCTAATCCCTGATACAGAAAACAAAAAAAAAAAGCAAGCAGTAATAAGGGTGATTTTGCTTACATGTTTTTTCAGTTTCAGAAAGCGCACTGAACTCTAAAAGGTATATCAACAGTGGTCATTTCATTTTCAGAGCACTTGTTCTGTCTGTTCCATGGGGTATTTTTTTCTTTTTGTGAAACTGGTGATTGAACCTAGGACCTTTGCACTGACCTATATCCCTATTTGTTTGTATACTTATCTATTTATGACACAGGGTCTCACTGTATCTGTAAATCGTCCAAGCTAGGCCTAATCTTTCGATCCTCCTGCCTCAGCATCCCAGAGCACTGAGATTAACAGTGGTTATTTTTAGTAATGGGACTGTGGGCCATTTACATTTCTTCCTTCACTTTTATATTATTAAGAAAACATGTGGAATGGAGAGCATACTCATCATAAATCAGAAAAAAACAAGGCATTTTATTGCATTCCCAGTCCAAACCCACTTCAGAGAGGACAGAAGTCCCATCTTTGTCATCTTAGCTTCTGTTTGCTCTGCTGAAGCAGGAGTCAGCAATTCCTTCATTCACAGAGCAAATATTTGTTGAGTCTTTAAAGCCAGGCAGTTCCAATACTTTCAACTTTTTACTGGGTCTCCAAATGTCATCAGTACCAGCTAAGGAACCAGCTGGGAGACAGACTAAGTCAACACTCTTCAAACATTCTGTGCACTGGAATCACCTGGGGGGTTGATCCCAGGGGCTCTGAGCTGGGACCCAAGCCTCTGCAGGAGAAGGAAGCTATTAAGGTGCACAGGTTCTGCTGCTGCTTTCTCAAAGGGACCGTCCACATCTTCACTCACTTCTACACTATGATCCCTCTCATTTTCCAGCTCTCACACAACCTAGGTTTCAATTTCACAAATGTTTAAAAGGTGATCTCTGAAATACAGCAGAAGGAAGGAGGGTCAGACAGCTGGAAGGGATGCTCCTTAGCAATTAGGAGCAAAAACCAGGAAAAAGGTGTAACTCTGTTCCCAGTCCACAGCTGCGCTTTCCCCTGTTTAGGCCTCAGTTTCTTCACATGTAAAATGGGTTTAGTCTGAGCCACCTTCACAGGGGAGGGTCGTTGTGTGGACTATCCGAGAGTAGTAAGTCAAGGAAGAACTCAACACCCCAAGCCCGCGGTAAAACCTCAATAAACAATGACCACGGCCAGCTGGGAACAGAGCTCGGGGCCCTTCTCAGCCACGAAGGGCTAGCTGGCTGGCTGGCTGGGACTTGAGAGATCGCTTCAATTCTCAGCCTCCAGCCTTTCCGTGGAGAGCAGAGTGCACTCACCCTGCCGGCTTCCGGGAACGATCTCAGCCTGCACCAGGATGTGCACAGCACCAGCCCGGAGGCCCAGTGGCTCTCAAAGAGGTTGGGTCCTTCAGATTTGATTCAGTGAGTTACTTCTGGTTCACTTTAATCCTCCTTCCTGATCTTGGGAAAGCTTTGGTTTCAGGGAAGAGGCCGTCTCCCTGAAGATCAGGTGAGGGAGGCACCAGGTATCCCTGACACTCAACACAAACTCAACGCCCACCAAGCATCCCGCTCCCAGCACAGACCACCAAGCTGGAGCTCGCCCCCAGCCGACTTCCCGAGGGCCCCCACCCTCTGTCCCAAAGAGACCCTAAGTTGAAAAGGATGGCTCTGAGTTTTGCACTTTACGAAGAAGTTAAAGGCTGCACAAAAAGGATTCCCCAAAGCCAGACCGAAGATCTCAGCAGGTCCCGTTGGGCGGGTGCGCGCCACCGGGCGTCCCTCTGCCTGCCCCGACCCGGGCCCGCTGGGCACTCACGATCTCGGCCACGATGAGGAGCCCCGGCAGCGTGCGGAGGAACTCGCGGTCGTAGGCGAAGCTGCTGCTGGTGGTGGAGAAGTTCTCGGCGAAGGAGCTGGTGGTGGTGTTGACGGTGTGCGAGCGGGCGCGCTGCGGCTCCTCCATCGCGGCGCCTGGCCGAGCTGGCCGGGCCCGAGGACCCCAGCGCGCCCCGGGCTGCAC